GACTACTTTCATACCTTGCCAAGCACCCTACTGCAACAGGTCCGCATGGAACCTCCCCTCATTTCAAACATATCCTCTGAACTATCCGCCATATGGGATGGACTATAGAGAACATGGGTACTATACAGGGAAGGGGATGACCCAGCTCCCAATTCAAATTAAGAAACCCAGAAAACCACCCACAGAGGTATATGCTCGCAACAACCCCAAGCATAGCTAGGATAGAATACCTAGATATGTTGGATATTCCCTATGATTTAACCACACAGAAGGCAATGTGGAAGATGACTCACCACCCACTCCTACAGCCAAGGATAAGATCAAACGCCTGGCGCTGTCTGAGAAGGACCTATAGGATGGCGGACTGTTCCAACTCCCTCCACAAAACATGCGCAGTATGTGGAGGGGAGGGATCCCTACATCACCGCCTAGAAACATGCCCCCCCAACCAAAGCTATATGGCAGGAAGTCGCACGCCTGCTTAAGATCCAAAACAAACAAGAATTTTCGATATCAAAGAGCATCTTTGCACTCCAGATTGAGTCACCAATCCCATCTACCCTCCGTTCCCTAATAATACCCATTGCAATGTGGACAATCCACACAATTGCATTATATTCATTCAAGGGCATGGTCCCAACCATTCATGGGGTTATTAACAGATTCCATGTCCACTTACTAGAGCACTTCCAAGCCTGGCTCTATGGATATATGAGTCCAAGACAAAAAGCGCTCATAGAATCATGGTTCCCACTCTGGTTCCTCCACACAGACCCTTTCCTTCACACCTGTTCCATAGCAGGGGAAACCACCTTGGAGTAGTGCACCAACCCCCCATAACTGGCAGTCCCGCTGGCAACAGGGGTAACTTGAGTACCCTGGGGTGCCTAATTTTATATTTGTCAATTATTTTCTTAGTTTTATGTATATTCGGTAATGTCCATCCCCTGGTCAGCTTACATCAGTTAAATAAAAGGGGTGTTTGTTTTAATAATTAATTTAGCTACCAATAGATCACACCTTGGACCTGGACAAGGCCATTGAAGCCTTGTTCTCACTCTCCAATGGACAGATGCTGTTAATTACCATCAGTAATTTTCTTATGTTATACCAAAGTCTCTTCACCAGATCTGTCAGTAGCCATCTGACTATGGATCTTCTCTCCTGTGCCTTGTCAATTTTGTGGACCATCACTTGGGCATTGCTCCCAAATTGTTTTGTGGCAATGTGGAAAAAATGTCCATCATAGTTATCTCAAAAGATTACCATCTTATTTAAACTAGTTATAAATTTATAACAACAATAGTTCAACATTTTATTATTGTTAAATTTTCTTAGTTAAGAATACACCTTAAAATATACAGTATGCAGTTACAAATATCTCTTTATTAAAACCTTTATTCTGAAGTAAGGTGTATTTAATAATTAAGGTAAATTTGGGGTATCATTAGTACTGATAGCTTAAACAATAAAAAAATGTATATGATTACAATATATCAGTTAAAATTACTAGATTATGCTCTGCTAGAACTAGATAAGCTTGGACCATCTAGTACTAAAAAAAGAACTAGATAAGCTTAATTAATCTATAGAACTTCTAGACATAATATGGATTGATTTTAAGAGTGGTTAGCCTGGCAGGGTAAACTATGCTTTCACTCTAGTGCAGGTTTTGTTCAACACATGTTTGAAACCTGTACTGGCTATAAAAAACTTGGTGTGGTATATTTGTCCCAAGGTCAACCTGCCTTAATTATTTTTATTATGGAATAATCTAAAATTGTAGATAATATATAGTACACAATATTAGTATATATGCTAAAGAAGATAGGTGATTAATTATTATACTTGTAATATTTTTTGTGAAAACATAATGCCAAATTATATAGTAATTCTATTCAATTTATTTGAGGTACGCCAACCAGGGGATGGACAGTACCGATCACAACACTCAAAATGACAAAACAAACTACTAACCAGGTGGGAAGCAGAAACTGCTTAACCCACCATGGCAGAGGGTGAGGAGGGGTCAGGGTTGGTTTTCAGAAAGACCCACCTCGATCAAGGGGTGTTGGTTACAGTACTGGATCAGAGCAAAGAGCCAGGGCGTTGGGGCATCTGCATAGTGGGGGCTGAGGTCAGCGTAGTAGGAGTTTTCCACTTCTGCATCAAGATAATGATGGGAAAGTGTTTCAACAAAAGCTGCGAGGAGAACTTCAGCTTCTTTGTGGGCTTCAGGAAGTTGGGTGAAAAGGGAGATACTGTGGCAGGTGATTTTGGCTGAGGGGTTGAATGAAGCAAGCGTTGTGACATTCATAACAGCGATTTCAGCATCATCAAATAGTTTTGAGATGTCACTGCAGGGAGATTCAGGGAAGTCGGGGGGAAGAAGATGGTGGGCAGGCCATGCTGGAGCTGAGCCACTGACTGGGCCACCGCGGTGCGTAGTTTTGGGCAATGAGGAGAGGCCACCGCAGCTAAGGCGAGCTGGTGGTCACTTTGGAAGGGGGCTGTATTGGGTAGAGGAGCAAAATGGCGAGGGGTAGGGGTTTCATCAAAGTCTGGAAGGAAAAATTCTGCCTGACCATAATTGCCATGGCAGAGAGGTTGACCTGTATGCTTACTAATGAGGACATTACCTGATTTGTCAGTTTCAGCCAATAGATCCCATGGATTTTGGTTCACTGGAATAGTGGCGTTTAAATTTGAGTGGGTAGGATTGGGCGAATGGGCAGCTGCTTGGGTGCAAATGTTGGTCCAAGCATTGCTCTGATTGGCTGGCGTAGATTTAGGTGGGAGAGTGAGGATGGAGGTTTTGGGGGGGGCTGATTTTCCATGTGGGCCCACTGAATGAGATTGGAGGGTGGGAGGGGGCAACAAAGCGCCCCATACTGAACCTCCAGAGGGAGGCTCAGAAGCTGCAGCAGCGGATTTGGCCTTAGGGCATGCTCTTTTTGCATGGTTGAGGCCAAAGCAGAGGGAAAAATCTGCCTACCATTATTGACCCAAGCCCAAAAGAAATGATCAGGCGCTGCAGCCACACTAGCGCGGGGTGGGATTTGTTGGGCTATGGTAGGGTGGTGTGGTATGATGGTGGCTGTTGCACGAGGAGCAGCAAGGCGTTCTGCACCAGATGGAATGGCAAAGATGAGGTTGGGCTGAGTGCCATAAGCCATAAGCCCTGTGACCAACTGGTCATACAAAACCTGGGGTGGAAGGTGGGATGGGAGATTTGCAAAGGATACCACTAGCGTGGTGTCTGAAGGGAGGCGAGTATGGGTTGTGGGAATGGGGGTTTTTTTATAAATTAGAGGAGTTTGTGCTGCCGCTTCAGCATCCTCCTCAGATTGGAACCCAACGTCAAAGTAGCCCTTAAAAGGGCGGAAGTCTATAATGCCAGCTGGCGCAAAGGCTGTAGTGGTTAGGTCAATAATTGCCTTATTGGCATATGGGAACAAACGCCCATAGTCCACTCTGAGGCAATAGCAAATAGCAGAGCGAGGGAGGGTGAGAGGATGGGGGTGAGAAGGGTGGACGCGCGCCAGGTGGAGCGCTAAGTCCTGTGGGGGAACAAAACGGTTGGAAGCAGTGGGCAGGCTGTTTGAGCCCGTCTGAACGCGCTTGCCCGCAGGGTGGAAAACGCTAGGTGGGGGTGCACTGCTGCCCCACACTGGGGTGGCAGGCGGCAGAGCCAAGGACATCAAATAATAGGTTTGGGCAGATGGCTGTGGATAAATAAACTTAAATTTAAAATCGCTCAAAAGTGACTTTGAGCGGTCAAAGAGAGTTTTTTAAATTATATAATAATTCTACCAAACTAGTCAAGAAACATTATATAGCTATTACCTTTATTAATAAACTTTTTTTAATAGACTTATATTATCTATCTTCTTTTTTATAACTGTATATTATTTATTCAGTATTTTAAAGCATATGCTTTTTATCACAGCATACTTAGTTGTAAAATTAGATTATTGCTCTTTTACAATCTAGATATATATTAATTCTTTTAAAACTTAATTAAAAATAATTATATAAAAGCTTGTTAAAATTAAGTCTAACTTAATAAATGTCAATTATATAAAGGACTGCTAAAGTTTTACTAAATATAGTAAAACAATTCCTGGGTCACAAGGGCAATACCAAAGATGTTAGCCTTAATGTCAATGCTTCAAGATTTTTACATATTTTATAGTTTCTTTACCTATATTCTTATCTTTTATAATATCTTTTCTATAACTTCTTTTTTCTTTTCATAGTTATAGTTACTATTTATAAAAAAACATTGCCTAAATAAACCCTTTAAATTTACCTCTAATTTAATTGAAAAAAGTAAAAAAATAATTTAGTGGGACATAACAATAATTTTTACTCAATAAGATAAATTGGGAAGTTTTTTCTATAAAATGGGGCCTTCTTTGTACATGGCTTGAAGTGTAAATGTGTTAAGAAGGTATTAGCTATAAAAAGTAGTAGAGCTTGAAAAGTTGTAGTCCAGTAAATAGAAAGATGATAAAAGAGGACATGAAATTAATGAGATTTAGTTGATAATAATTCATTATTTATACCAGATGAATCTTCAAAAAAGTTGATGACCATTATAGGTATTTCTTTAAGTATAGGCATCTAAAGAACTTAAAAATCTACTGATATGTAAAAAGTACATATTACTTAAATAATGTTGATTTGTTAGATGTTGACTAAAATAAAGCACTAACATGCCCATGCATTTATTCTTAGAGAAATGAATGAACACAAGAATTTTATTGAAAAGGTGAATTTGAGTTACAACAGAATAGTATACAAGATAGCACCAAGTAGTCAGCCAGTAAAATTAATATGATCTGCCAAAAAGATATATAATTGTATTTGCAATTAATAGAGAAGATATATACATGTTGAATGTATTGTGGAGCGGTAAATGGAGAATAAAAAAGAGTTTTTAATCTATATTTTCTCGAGAAATTAAGCTCTTTTTAATACTGAAAAAAATAAGAAAATGACAACTGGAGGGTTCGAACCTCGGGACACAATGTAGACTGCGACCTGAACGCAGCGCCTTAAATCGCTCGGCCAAGTTACCATTTATCATTTTTTTATATTTTAAAATGTAATAACTGTAAAATAGAGGAGCAAAAATTTGCGATGCTAGTTTTTTAGATTACACTGTTAAAAATCCAAGAGTCTTATTTTACCACCTTATAGTTATATGTTAAACTCAATTATGCAAACTCTAAAACTATTTAGAGTATGATAAGAAGAAATCTAGACAATAGTTGGGACCATCTAGTACTAAAAAAAAAAGAAATCTAGACAATATGTTATAATGGTGAACTTAAATTTCTAAACTTTAACTAATCAAGGGAATATAGATTTACAATGTTTGACAAATAAATATTTTATAGGTTTTAGTGCCTTTTTACTCCTTATGATTCTTCATACACACTTCTAATTTTCTCTTCTATTTTTCAAAACACATTTTTTATTGGTTTCCATTAAAAAAGTAGAAAGGCATAACAATTTTTTAATCTATTACAGAAAAATTTCATAAAAGTATAGCTCTGATGTAAATATTCATATGTATAAAATAACCTTTCAAATCACATATACTTATCTTTCCTGATAAATTATGTATAGAAAAGTTTGACTCTAACATCTTGACTTTTGATCAGCATATTTTTCACTATAATCTTTATTTTTTAGAGCCATAATCATCTGGGTTTAATGTAGCTATAAGAAAGTAAAATACTTGTATACTATTTTTCAACATGGGAATCTCCTAAATTATTGGCATGGTAATTATTGTATTATTTAACAAAAGTTGTTTCCTGAAGTTTTAATAAATTCATGCATAAAAAGGTTTATAAGATTTTTTATAAGATTTATGCACCATTTGTTTACACATTACACCTTTATATCACTTCTATATTATTTATTACAAAAGCAAGCAGTATATGTATAAAGTTGTTTGATGATACTATAACATTAACAGGATAACCTCTTATTTTATAACAGAAAGGCAGTTTATATGTGATTTCCCTATTGCCAGAATTAAAAGAAAACTTATTATATTGGTGGTTACAAACTATCATGTTACTAGTCTCACACCAGAATCTAAATTAAATTCTCATTAAAGGCATAAATAAATTAGTTTAAATGCACTAGTTAATTCTTAAAGAACTTTACTATAAACTAAAGAAATAAATAACTTATCAGGATGGATAATAGTTATGGATGATTATAACTTTATTTATTGGTACTTAGAAATATATATAGGATACAATGCAGTATGTTTTTATTGCAATTAGTATGTCACTGATGAAGAAAGATTTTATCATTATGAAAGATAAAAATCTCCTTTTTTTTAAAAGATCTCTTATCAGACAATGTCTTGATTAGTGAGAGATCTAATTGCTTGTCTCAACATTTATTGGGTAGTGAGGTTATCTATAGTCTGAGGTGTATAATTTAAGTTATGTTTCAACTCTTGGATACAATTAGATTTGTGTTTGAAAGAATTGATATTACCCTTTAATGAATTATCAGACTTTCCAACAATGCCCCATCAAGATCTTGTAAAGGGCAGTATAGGTGGTAAAAACAACTGTGAACTCAACTGACAAGGGTTATAGAGTCAATGACTGCAATAGAATATCAATCCCTTGTCAATAAATATGCAATATGGCTTGGACCAAAGAAAATCAAGTTTATAGGATTAACCTCCAGGCCAATGGTGATAAAATAAAAAATTTCACAATTGATAATCAGGTAATGATGATCTTTATATTACATGAAACCTTATCTGATAGTAGTGAAAGATAGAGAGGTGAAAGTTAACGCTTGTAAATATATAATCTCATTATCCAACCTTTGCATGGTTAATTTATTGATTTCAGGAATAGAAGAACCTATAATGGATTGTATATAATAGGTAAAATTAGATCTTGACTTAAGGAACATTAAAAAGAATACATATCTAACACTCAATGATAGTTTGCCCTATATTCTAACATTGAACTTGGTAGATATTTATCACATCAACTAGGGTCAAAAGAGTTCATTTTCCAAAGTATAGCCACAAGGGTTCCATTGCCTCTTTCTACAGCTCCATTGTATGCAGATGGTATAGGAAATTAAAGATTGATAAATATTCAAACTTAGAAAGTTCTGCAACTGATTGATAGATAAATCTTTCTTCTTATTAGTTTATAAGACTCTTAGACTTCCATGTCTTGTAAAAACATGTTTGAGGAGAAAAAAGCAGTGGTTTTAGTGGTACTTGCAAAAACAAAAATGGCCTTGAACTATTTAAAAATAGTCATTATATAGTATAATATAATGGTCATACATGGTTGTATATGATTGATAATTACATTAAAATTCTACAACAGCAAAAGGTTCATTAGGACCAGCAATTTGGAGTTAAAATAAGAATTTGTATTCTCTGTTTTTGGAAATCAGATTTAAGTCAAGTACATCATGTACAGTTTCAGACATATTATTACAAAAGCATAAGTCCTTTAATCATGAAGAGTTTTATTAGCAGCTCCACAACTAGTAAATTGGTGGGCTTCCAATGCAGCATTGGTCCTAGAAGAGGGACGGATAAAACCAACAATTTAATAACAAGTTTTTATAGCAGCCCTTTTTTTACTGAGTATCTTTAACTATGATATGTAAACAGTTCACAAGATACTTAGATTCTTAATTCTGAAGCTTGGGTCTACCAATTAAATGAGTAACACAATACACTTTGAAAGTAAACAAAGTTAATACTAGTAACTAAGATAAGCCATTGGCATTTTGATGTACTACATGGGAACAATGAACAATTTAATGTCATAGTTTGGAGTTTTAGGGCCCATCATGATACGCGCCCACCTGTCAGGACAAAGCCTAACATGAAAGATATCCCTGATATATCAGTTCTTATTAGTAGTATATATGATATATGTATTCAGCTTAAACAATCGAAGATGATAGCAAAATCACATAGCAGAACAAATAATGAGTCAGATGAGTTGATTCAAGCCTAACAAATCTGAATTGAACATTGGAACACCTGGGGCCAGGTCATAGTAGTCCTAACTAGGCAGTTGACTACTAGTCTAAGCTTTGGTTATCTAAGACAGAAAGAGCCTAAAGAATCTAAAGCTAGATAAGAGTCAAGTAATCCCTAAAGCTAGTTCAATTAGTCTGAAAAGTGTATATAAGCTGAATAATAATTAAAATCATTCCTTGAAGTCAAAGTTATGATGCTTCTAATTACTTATTTGATTTACCTGCTTTTGATCCTTAGTAAATTATAAGGAACTTTATTATCAAGCTTATATCAATTTAACAACACTGAAAATCCAACTATTTCCACTAACCCAATTTAACAATTACCCACTATCACTGGTATCTTTGCCTTAACAGGGGTTGAACTAGCTGAAGCTCTACAACCTATATTAGGGCCCAACAGACCTTTATTCACAGCCGTTATATTTTTTATCTGCATCCTACCCTTGTTATACTGGACTCTCAGCTCAGGCATGGCAAGTTCACAAGTTGCTATTCCAAACTGGGTTAAAGATATTCCATTCCCTGACAAATTGACTGCCAACCAAAAAATATTACCCCTTTTCCTTATGCTATTAGGCGCAATAGCTGTATGTATATTGTTAAAGGCCTATAGCAAAATTAAGGTGCGCTTAAATTTTGAGTCTCAATCAGACAATCTATCAAGGAATTCAGAAAGACCCAGCCAAGTGCAGACTGTGACAGTAGCTAATCATACTATTCCCTTTAACTCCACAGTAAAATTTCCTGAAAAGTTGACACTCTCAACTATAAAGGGAGAACTGGCTTTATTAAGTGCACAATTCAGAATCTACACCAACACTTATCACAATGATGCATGCAAAGTGATGGCAATAGGTTCCCAACTCACTGGGGATGCACTTAGTTGGTTTGTAAAGGATCTTGAAGAAGATGAAAGTCTATGAACTGATTATGAGTCTTTTAAAGTCAAATTTTAGCCGCTGCAACACCAGCTGGATCAAGATTACAAGCACGTATAGCTCTATTGAAGCTAAGACAGGAAGATCAAGATATGGAGGATTAAAATTTTTTTGATGCAATTCATAAAGCTGATTTATATTCTGAGATGGGTTCACTTCTCTTCACCAAGGCTTAAATGACTTTTGGACAGAATTAGTTAGACATCATCCAATCACTATGTCTCTTCAGGATCTAATTGAGACCACAACAAATCTGATGATTGAAGCACCTAATAATTCAAACAAAAATAAGGAAATGAAACTCATCAGAGCTAACTATCAACAACGTTGGACCAAAGAAAAGCTATGTTATAACTTCCACAAGCCTGGACATTATGCAAATGAATGCTCAGAAAAAACAGTTTCTGCTAAATCTCCATTAAAGAACAATGTTCAGCCTTATCCTATTTTATATGTAGCTCTAAGCCATGATGAATATAAAAAATGTATAGAGGCTTTAATAGATACAGGCGCATCGAGAAATTTCATTTCTGAGAAATTAATAGAAAGTTTAAAATGTACAAAAGGAATTGAATCGCTTGATGTAACTCTTGGGAATGGGGAGATTATCAACACCTATCGTTCAGATCCGCCCATTAGGCTTCATATTGGTTCCCATACCTCAGATGTTGAGTTCTGGGTGCTTAAGGAAACTACTCAACCAGTAATACTTGGGTATAACTGGACATGTCAGATGAAACTTCAGTACCAGTATGAGAATCATGCGTTGTTGTTAACTTTAATGGGAAAAAGAAGTTTGGCCTTTGATTAAAGCAAGATGCTCTGGGCTGTTAGTTGCTGATACTCCAATTATAGAGTTGGAGGCCTGTAAAGCAATTATTCCTAAGTACTTAAGGCAATGGGCTTCAGTTTTCAGCGAAGAAGAAGCCAATCAACTACCCCAGCATAGCCTATTTGATCATGCAATAGACTTGGTTCCAGGTAAACATCCTACTCATGGCCCAATCTAAAGCTGTAATCAACGGGAACAAAAAGCTTTGTGAGAATACTTAGATACCATGCTAAGCAAAGGGTTTATCAG